ATCAAGAAAGAGTTCTTGAAAATTTCCTTATAAATATATATATTCTATACTTATTCAAAAACCGAGTAGTTTCTACTAGCGAATGAACTATTGTCGGAACCGGACTTCAAAAGGTGGATACGATTAGAGGAAGACGTTTGGATTCCTAAAGCGAGTAGCATCAAGGATTTGACGTTATCAAACCGGGAATTGATTTCCTCAATCATCATCGATTTTGAAGGAGTTCAAGAACTAAGGTAATTTTTGAAATTACTTATAATAAATCAAAATTTATTATTATTACATGTTTTTAAAGATGACGATCTGTTTAATCGACATATGTATGTACGAGTTATGTATTTAATTGTTAAATACATGTTTTAAAAAAATTTTAAATTCTGCTGCGTATAGCTCGTACGTTACAGGCGAACCCAACAGTGGTATCAGAGCCACGGTTATCATCTTTAAAAACAAATTTTGATTTGTTAATGTTTATATGATAAATAAGATAATTATAATGTTTATGTGATAAACAAGATAATTATAATGTTTATGTGATAAACAAGATAATTAAATGTTTATGAGATAAACATATTAATTATTAAAATAAAATAAAAAAATAAAAAAAAAGTTTTTTTCAAGGAGCCCAGAGCTGACACGGGTGGTGACACGGGCTGCCAGCCCGTGTCGGAGGCCGTGTCAGGTGACACGACCCCTGACACGGGCCGTGTCAGGTTAAGTTACAAAATTGATGTTCAAAGTTGCTCTCGACATTTTGACACGATCCCTGACACGGGCGTGTCATAGGCCGTGTCAGGTGACACGACCTCTGACACGGGCCGTGTCAGGTGCAATGAGCCTATCATATTTTAATTCATGTGATGAATGGTTTAACTTAGGGATGATCATGAGCCTTTTATTCAACATGATTGAATGCTGCATTTTTCAATATGATTGAATGTTTGAATGTTTTATTCAATATGGATGAATGATTGTATTTTATTCAATGTGATTGAACGGATGTAATTTATCGAGACCTGCGAGTCTCTTGAATTATGATTTGTAAAATTTTAAGTTTTTGTATCGTTAAAAGATAAGATCAAGGTGGAGACCGTTTGATGCGAAAGGCCCACGCTTGTGTGGGTAATTTTACAAGTTTTAAATCTCGAAGGCCTGTGCTTGTACGGGTAGATAAAATGAACTATAATAGAAGTAGTTCTATTTATTTGTTTTATCACGTACATAGGCATAGACCCATTTTGGCTCGAATGGGTCGTATAGGCAAGGACATGATCATCCCACCGTATGCATGCATTAGATGTATGTTAGGTTTATTTATGTTTTTGATTCATGCGATGGATGAAACGGTAAATAAACGTAAAGATGGTAAACGATAAGATCACGGAACCCTAAAAATTAATAAGATTAATTCATATCATATCAATAATGGATAAAAATAAGCTGGGACTTATTAATCCAGGCCTTCCATAAAAAAAGTAGACGACATGAGATGCTACGATGCTCTATCACTGACCATGAGTCGGGGGGTGGTTTTGTGTCGAAAGCTGTGATTCCTACTACGTATATTGATACTTGTGAGACGGATTCATCTTTGTGTTGACCATGAGTCGTGGGACACTCTGGTGGGCCGTTATCATGAATGTTTTGATGGGTTTGATTTGACACCGAGTAATATATACGGTCATATTCTTGAGGTATATAAGGAAAGGTGAGGCAAAATATTTTGAAGGTTATATATTGATACAATTGTCAAAAAGTTGACTACCAGTATAAATGTTCCATGCGTACT